TTAATTGGATATGACACTTAGGTTCAATGCCCTATACAAAGTTAAGTGTTTTCCTGAACAAAGCTTTGTTAGTATAACTGGTAGATATGCTGATTATGCACCTTTTTTTTTTCTCTCCAGATCGGGAGAATCAGTCTATCTTAATCACGTATGTATTCCTATTCTGAGTCTTATTAGAATTTTATTCTCACTGGGATAATAAAAACCAAAAGAAGAAATTTAGCCCACATACTAAAGCAGTAGCATCATCAGCCTAAAACTAGATATTGTTTTCACTTTATTGTAGGATTTTAGAATGCATCAGAGTGTAAAATAACAATGTAAATTACATCATTCTAGTTGAGTCTTAAAAAGTTCCATAGGACTTACCTGGGAAAAGGAGATATAAAATCCCTTCTATAGATATGGCCTAAACCTGGTATAGCTCAGTGAGCCTTCTGTAGGTTAAGTAGTTTGGGAATGTTAACAGTGGTTTTTAAGGCCTACATAAGGAATATCTATTCCTTCAAAGACCTACCTTGGGCTATATCTTTGGTCTATGGAAACTAAAGAACACTTGCATTTTTTCATAGTTTTTTAAACCAATATTTTAATTTTCTCCCTAATTGTTAAGTGGCTGCTTTCTGAACCACTCATGCCCAGGCCTTAGCACCTAGAAGAGAGCCTGGCATACTTTAAGCACTAAAGAAATATGTGTTATAAGAATAATGAATAAATGAATTTATATCTTGTCAATATTAAGCAAAGAAGTAATATGAGCTATATATAGGCACAGAAAAAGATCGAGGAGACTAGTAAAGACATAAAATAGATGATTAGGTAGTAAATGCTTATGGTGGAAGTAGTTTCATGGCTTAATTTCTCATATTTGCTTGGTCACCCTTTGACAGCGGAGAATCTGGTGCAGGGAAGACTGTGAACACCAAGCGTGTCATCCAGTACTTTGCAACAATTGCAGTCACTGGGGAGAAGAAAAAGGAGGAAGGTTCTGGCAAAATGAAGGTGAGTCCAATACCAGAGTCAGAATCAAGACTGTGGGGGCTCTCAGGAAGTGGGGAGCCTCCGATGTGAGCACTGCACTTGCTTTTGCAGGGGACACTGGAAGATCAAATCATCAGTGCCAACCCTCTGCTGGAGGCCTTTGGCAATGCCAAGACCGTGAGGAATGACAACTCTTCTCGCTTTGTAAGTGTCTTGGTCACAGAGGGGTTTTCTTGGCCTTTAAATGCCAGAGAAAGCATATCTGAGTTATCATTTCAATTTCATCTTTCTTGTGTGCTTCAAGCTTTGCACATAACATCTTTTTTACTTGCAAGGGTAAATTCATCAGGATCCACTTTGGTACCACCGGGAAACTGGCTTCTGCTGATATTGAGACATGTGAGTAACAGGACCTCTTAAATAGAATCCAAGGATGACAAATGATGGTTTGGAGGAACATCTTGCAGCTCCTGCTGAGCTTAGAGCTTGTTTAATACCATTCTGCTGCCAAACATGCCCACAGTTAATGCCAATCTTAACCAGAGTCCACAGTGTACTTTACTCACGTCAGTCATGAGCTAATGATTCTGTAATAACTGCCAGGAGCTGTTAGGCTTGTCTGAATTATTCCAGCCTCAGAATTGACCTCAATATTTTCTAAGAAAAACAAAACAAAACTAACATTAGGGATAAATGAGTTGCCTCTGGGTGGAATATGTCTGATTGCTTCCAAGCCTGAGCCTTGACAAATTTCACTTTTAGTATTCCCTCTAATATAAAGTGAGAAGAGACCCTGGGGAGGAGAGGACATCAAGAATCTATTATATTTCATGCATCAGGCATCTTCTGTATGAGAGATGAATATGCCGTGGGCCAGCATGCTTTAGTTTCTTTCTAGAGATGTAAAAGCAACTGCCATTGTAGAGATGTACTATGTGGTACCTCATGGGAACATTTAGCTGAAATCTCAAGGGGCCAATAAAATATAACTGATGACCATAAATGCCAAATCACTCCAGGAACTTCACAATTTCCCTCCAATTTCCCTACTTTTCATTGCAGATCTTCTTGAGAAGTCCAGAGTTACTTTCCAGCTAAAGGCGGAGAGAAGTTATCATATTTTTTATCAGATCATGTCTAACAAGATACCAGAATTGATTGGTAAGAAAGGTCTTAAATTCACAGATCAAAATTAATCTTTTTTATTAACAACTTGTAATGTACAATTTGCCTCCTGAATTCTATGTACCCAGAAATGCTCCTGATCACCACGAACCCCTATGACTATGCCTTTGTCAGTCAAGGGGAGATCACAGTCCCCAGCATTGATGACCAAGAAGAGTTGTTGGCCACAGATGTAAGTTACACATGCAGTTTTAAAAAACTACATTATGCATGGGAATGACAATAGCAACCTACTGTAGGTGTGTCATAAGCATATAGTATAAATTCTCCTAAATAAGTTAGTCTCCTATGCCCTAATTTTTGTTCTCATTTCTCCTGGTAGAGTGCCATTGATATCCTGGGCTTCAGTGCTGAAGAAAGAGTATCCATCTATAAGCTCACTGGTGCAGTAATGCACTATGGGAACATGAAATTCAAGCAAAAGCAGCGTGAGGAGCAAGCTGAGCCAGATGGCACTGAAGGTATAAAGTGTAGCTACATCTGGGTTTAACAGGAGAATCTAGGCAAAAAAGCCCATTCCAAACTCATGTCTCTTTTACAACTGAGCTTCTGATGGGACATACAGAAATGTACTCCTGCACAGACTTTCTATAGTGATTCACACTCCATGAGTAGTGGGTCATGTTGGGTACCTGAATTGTGTCTTACAGTTGCTGACAAGGCAGCCTATCTCCAGGGTCTGAACTCTGCTGACCTGCTCAAAGCCCTTTGCTACCCTAGGGTCAAGGTTGGCAATGAGTACGTCACCAAAGGCCAGACTGTACAGCAGGTAAATGCACAACCTTAATGAATGACACACATCCTAAGCCTTCACAACATGTCTTTAATAACAGCAAGTTATTACTCTGTCCATGAAGGTGTACAATTCAGTGGGTGCCCTGGCCAAAGCTGTCTATGAGAAGATGTTCCTTTGGATGGTCACCCGCATCAACCAGCAGCTGGACACCAAGCAGCCCAGGCAGTTCTTCATTGGGGTCTTGGATATCGCTGGCTTTGAGATCTTTGATGTGAGTCATCAGAAACTTTGAGCAGGGAAGTTTACAAATTATGCTGCTAAAATCAATATTGAAAAAAGGTCTGTGAGAAATAACTGTACTACAAACTAAATAGGCATGTGTAAGAAGATTGAAGGGCACAAACTTGGAATGAGACAGGTCTGGACTCAAACTCCACCTCTGTTAATTCCTACCTAAGTAAACTTGGATAATGGGAATGGTGTCTGACCAATCATAGAACAAATTCATCTAGGACTGATAGGTAAATCACGTATCACTCCAAATAGCACACTTATTTCTGATATCATTCTGCCAGTTATGAGCTGGTTATATCCTAATCCCTAAGCATAAACCGCAAACACATAGTACTCACTCAGTAAGTGATAAAGAAGGTAATGAGGACAACAAAGATGACAGTGGGGAAGACAATGACAAATTCAAAGAGAGATTTCGAGGCTCCTATCTGTCATGAAATATCCAGGTATAGAGGAAGAATGTGGTATTGAAAAGTAACTCAAATTCATTTGCCTGAGAGAGACTACCTTGAATATATCTTAAGCAACAAGGGTACCGAAGTGAAGTCCTCTATCTGACAGCAGTATCTCAGATGTGTCTGACCCACAAGTAGAATTCCTATACCTTTTCCTGACTGGTAGACACTGGAGAAATCTTTCTGAGTTTTAGGAATAGGAGCATTTCCAGAAATTCCCAAGCCCACATGGGAAGGAATAATCTGGCACCAAGCAGGAACAAGAACATATCACACTTTTTTAAAATAAGAAAACTAATAACACTACATACTTGCAATGCCTTTGAGTTTTTAAATAGATTTATTAATATAATTCACATACCATTAAATTTGCTTATTTAACTCAATAGTTTTTAATGTACTTAAAGATATGTGCAACCATTACAATAATCATTTTTAGAACATTTTCATCACCCCAATAAGAAACCCTATTCTGTTAAATCATTCCTCACTTCTCGCTCACCCAGACCTTGCTGCCACTAACCTCCTTTATGTCTTTATGGACTTGCCTATTTTGGACATCCCATAGAAGTGGAACCATACAACACATGGCCCTTTATGATCAGTTTCTTTCACTTCGTATAATGCTTGCAAGGTTCATCTGTATGGCAGAACTTCTTCGACTTCTGTGTATGGTGACACTATTCTAACACAATAGCACTCACAATTATTTTTAGGTCTAGGTGTCCCGAGTAGTAAAGCATAGCAGATCTCCTCAAGTTATAATACTGGGTACAAACACTGGCTGTGGTGTCAAAGTTTTGGAGCCCCGTCATGCCCCTAACCAGCAGGATCTTGCTCAGGTTACATAATCTCTATAACAGCGTTTCCTCACCCATGACATGGGCAAACAGTACCACCTTAAAAAGGCAGCTGTGAGGACCAAATGCAATAATTTATATAAGCACTTAGCACAGTGTCTAGCATATAGTAAATGTTCAACAAAGGTTAGCTATTGAATTTTTATTCCTATTATTAATAACACACACAGATCATAGTGACTCATATGTACCAACCTTAGTAGTTATACAACATAATCATAAAGAGATAAATTACCGTGAAACCTATAACTAAAAATATAGATTGTGAAAACCAAATAATTGTTTTATTGCATAAGAAGTATCATTCAGACCTGTTTATTCCTCCTTAGGAGATAATTCTAACAAGGGTGCTAACACTTCCTCACCCACAGCAGTAAAAAAAGACATACCATCCTGAGGGCAGTTGGGTTTACCAATTAAGAAAATCTCCTATCCAATAGAAGCTTTTATTATAAGATTAATGGTAATTTGCATTTTATACTTATTTAGTACAACAGCCTGGAGCAGCTGTGCATCAACTTCACCAACGAGAAACTGCAACAGTTTTTCAACCACCACATGTTCGTGCTGGAGCAGGAGGAGTACAAGAAGGAAGGCATCGAGTGGGAGTTCATTGACTTTGGGATGGACCTGGCTGCCTGCATCGAGCTCATTGAGAAGGTAAAGAAATAAATACTGCTCCTCAGGGATAGCTCCTCTTTACGTGGGCCCATCACCTCTTTCCACTCTTCCCTGCTAACATGTTGCTGCCTCTAACCTCACTGTCCCTCTGATAGTAGAATCCCCTTGTGCATAAAAGCTAAGTGTTTGGAAAGCACCCAGAATCTGTTCAGACACCTAGATGAGTGCCTGGGTGGTTAAAATTCCAGGGCTCAGTTATTCCCAAGAATATGATGGGAGCTCAGCAGGGATTGTGGCATTTCATACCCTTCTGGTTTGTCCAAAGACCCATGGAGCAGTGGGCTTCAATGTCACTGTAAAAACAACATTAACTTACAATTTTTTTCCCATAATGTTTTGATCACTGGTCAAGTTGGAAGGAGGTGGCTACTGAAAAATACAGATGATTTTTCAAAATATTACTATATTATTTGATGTCTATGTACATGAAATTTTTGGTAAACCTATTGCTAAAAGTGAGCTACATTTATAGACACATAATTTTTTTAAAATTTTCATTAAATTTATTGGGTGACATTGGTCAACATGAACATAGATTTCAGGTGTGGGTTTCTATGTTACAAGATCTGTATATTGCACCTCGTGCCCACCACTCAAGTCAATTTTTCTCCTGTCATCTTAAGACCCCCTCCTCCCTCAACCCCCTTCCTTCTGGCAACCACCACATTACCTTTTGATATACACATAATCTCATTCCATGTATTGTTGTTCAACAAAAATTAAGCACATACCATATGTCTAGCGCTGCTCTGTCATTGCGCCAAAACAGACCAAGGGCCTTACTCTCACAGCACTTACAGCCCAGTGTGCACAGTAATAGAGTAACAGCACCAAAGTGGTTTTGGCTCCTGCAGACAATGGAGTCAGTCAAATAGACTGGTATTGAATACTGTTATGCTCCTTCTAGCCCATGGGCATCTTCTCCATCCTGGAAGAGGAGTGTATGTTCCCCAAGGCCACAGACACCTCCTTCAAGAACAAGCTGTATGAGCAGCATCTTGGAAAGTCCAACAACTTCCAGAAGCCCAAGGTTACCAAGGGCAAGGTTGAGGCCCACTTCTCGTTGGTGCACTACGCGGGCACCGTGGACTACAACATTGCCGGCTGGCTTGACAAGAACAAGGACCCCCTGAATGAGACTGTGCTTGCCCTGTACCAGAAATGTTCCCTGAAGACTCTCGCCTACCTCTTCTCCTATGCAGCAGCAGCCGCTGAAGCAGGTAATTTTCGATAGAATTCTCTTTTACTGAATGTCTGAAACTTCACGCGAGGAAGCCTGTGCTATGACCGTTGTGCTTTCTCGGTTCCCTTTAGAGGCTAATGCTGCTGCTGGAAAGAAAGCTGCCAAGAAGAAGGGTTCTTCCTTTCAGACCGTGTCTGCTCTCTTCAGGGTACACACTTCATTTTCTCTAATTAAATTCAGGAAATTAAACTTCATTTTACTGTGTGGGAAAGGGGAATTAATGTTGCAAGGATTATAATACTGGATATGACTCAAAGAGAGAGGTCAGCAGATAGAACTGAGTCTTATGGCACTATGGAAGAGATGCTCAGTATAAATTGGAAACACAGGCCTCCGGGGAGATGAGCGTGAATTGCAGAAATAAGTATCAGATGGTAAAATTCAATTTGGGGTCCAGGAAGTGAGGTCATTTGACACTCAAAAGTTTCTAATGGGGTAGGAATAAGCAAAACATTACATTTTCTTGAGCCGTTAGGAGCCTCCAAATGATGCAGGTGCTTAAGCAAATACTGGCATAGACTGAAATGAGTAGATTTCAAAATCTGAGGATAGAATAGTGGTAGGAATTGGAAACTGATCTAAAAATAACAACAACAACAACAACAACAACAACAACAACAACACACACACACACACACACACACACACACACACACAAACCCAGGTATGATTTTTAAAATAGCCCTTTAAGGAAAATTTATTTTACTTTTGATAATCCAATTGGCAAAAACTGAAGCTCTAGTTTTTCCAATAAATCAGGATTTCCTTGGAAAACATCTCATACTTGGTAACATAGCTGTCAGTTTTCTGCCAGTTCCCAGAACAAGGCATTAAAAGGCCACTTACTGTGGAACCAGAAGGAGGACACAGATCTCCAACTATAAGGAATAAGTATGTGACAGGGAAGGGGATACAACTACAAGGCAGGTAAAGAAAGAAATGGAGATTGGGAGAAAGACATTGACTTATCTGTAAAACCAGATCACATATCTGGGCAAAAAGAGTGGCTGTAAGTATTTCCATATGTTTAGAATGTTATACTAAATTGACAATTTATTTTATCACACTCAACATCAGTGAACAACTTCAAACACCTAAGAGACAAAAATCTCTATATATAATGCACAAAAGTAGGCAATAAAAAAATCATTTTAGGAATGTGGAAATTCCAGAGCTAACTTTGCAAATTCTAATCTGGATGGGAACTGGAAATATTGGGGGGAACACTTTGTAAAGTATATGCTTGTCTAACCATTATGCTGTACCCCTAAAACGAATACAAAATAATATTGAATATAAACTGTAATTGAAAAATAAAATGTAAAAATAATTAAAAATTTAAGTAGATTTCAAAATCTGAATGCCATGGAGCATGATTATGTCTGCATATATGAATGTCTGAAAATAGTATACATTTTAAAACAAATTTCATATGGCTTCACAGGAAAATTTGAATAAGCTGATGAGCAACCTGAGGAGCACACACCCCCACTTTGTGCGGTGCATCATCCCCAATGAAACCAAAACTCCCGGTAAGACAGTTCTGATATCCAGACAAACCCATGTGTTTGTGCTAGACCATGAAATGAGGCATGTGTATCTTTCGTTTTAGGGGCCATGGAGCATGAACTTGTCCTGCACCAGCTGAGGTGTAATGGTGTGCTGGAAGGCATTCGCATCTGTAGGAAGGGATTTCCAAGCAGAATCATTTATGCAGACTTCAAACAGAGGTCAGACTTTTTCACCATGAATTATTTTAAGAGACTTATCTTATTTACTTTAATTTTTCCAGTGAAAGGATCATTAGTGATCCTATAGGAATATTTCCTAAGTCCCAAAACACCAATCAGAAAAAATATATGCACCCCTATGTTGATAGAAGCATTATTTACAATAATTAATATCTAAAACAGCCCAAGTGCCCATCATAGATAAGTGGGTAAGAAAGATGTGCTACATTTACATAATGGAATAATATGCAGCTATAAAAAAAGAGGATCTATTAACCTTTGAGACACCATGGAAGGACCTGTAGAGTACTATGCTAAGAGAAATAAGCCAGTCAGAGAAAGACAAGTATCACATGATCTCACTTATTTGTGGAATCTAATAAACAAAAGAAACTGACAAACAAAATAGATCCAGAGACATGAAAGCATATATATATGGAAAAAATTTAACTGAGTCTATTGAAATACTAAAAATTTGACACTCTGAATGTATGGAGAATAAAGAGGTAGATATGATTTCTTGTTGATATTTGTTACACTACTCAACAGCTATGTTGTTTCTATAATAAGGCAGGAAGACCTCTTGTTCATAACAATAGCTGTATAATTTCTTTGTTAAACAGATACAAGGTATTAAATGCAAGTGCTATCCCTGAAGGACAATTCATTGACAGTAAGAAGGCTTCTGAGAAGCTTCTTGGGTCCATTGACATTGATCACAATCAATATAAATTTGGTCACACCAAGGTAATAGTCTCTGAAGTCTACCTAATGTTATTCCTGTCGCTTTGAAGTTTTGTAAAGTACCTGATCTACAACTCTGATCATACACAGGTCTTTTTCAAAGCTGGTCTTCTGGGGCTCCTAGAGGAGATGCGAGATGAAAAGCTGGCCCAGCTGATTACCCGAACCCAGGCCAGGTGCAGAGGGTTCTTGGCAAGAGTGGAGTACCAGAAGATGGTGGAGAGAAGGTATTAATAGTTTAGTAATACTTTACTAAACTCCATCAGCACAGAATTTTAATTCTGATTCCTGTTATAACCTGACTTTGAAAATTTCTGCTCCTATCACAGAGAGTCCATCTACTGTATCCAGTACAATGTCCGTGCCTTCATGAATGTGAAGCACTGGCCCTGGATGAAGCTGTATTTCAAGATTAAGCCCCTCCTCAAGAGTGCCGAAACAGAGAAGGAGATGGCCAACATGAAGGAAGAGTTTGAGAAAACCAAAGAAAACCTTGCAAAGGCTGAGGCTAAGAGAAAAGAGCTGGAAGAAAAAATGGTTGCTCTGATGCAAGAGAAAAATGAACTACAACTGCAGGTTCAATCTGTAAGTGTCAAAACCCATTTTTAAAATCTGATGCTAAAATTTTATTTAACCAATTGATGGGGGAAATTCTATATTCCATTTTACCAAGAGACTTATTATCAACCTTTTCTAATTCACAAATGCTTAGAATGTTCTATAATTTTTCATATACAATATTACTAAAAGAATCAACAAGACACATGGGTTTGTGCTAAGGGTAGTTAATGGTGAAGAGGTAACTAAAAAGTTAAGGATTAGTTTGATAAGGCTTATGTATACAACTTTGTTGGCCCCCAACTCCCCATCTCTGGTGATAAAAATGTCTCCTTTCCTCCTCACATGGGAAATTTATTGAAAGAAGGATGAGGGGAGGAGTTCAAACAACCTTCTTCCTTCTGCCATTTTCTCAAACTCTTTCAACTTACGATTTTCAGTATGCCCAAGGGCCATATTTTGAGGTGGTGTGCCCTGAACACCATCATTAGAAATAAAACTGTGTCATAATTTTACTAGGAACCATGACTTAAATTCCTTTTATTTTATCGTCAGTGAGGTAACTGTCCAATAACTATTTCTTAAATGATGGAAAGCTAATAAAAATTAACCTAATGTTTTAAAATACAACTTAATGATTTGCTTTCAAAATATTAACATAATCTGAAAATATGCAGAGAACTAAAATATAAAAGTATCTATTGTTCCTTCTTAGGAAGCAGATAGCTTAGCTGATGCAGAGGAAAGGTGTGACCAGCTGATCAAAACTAAAATCCAGCTTGAAGCCAAAATCAAAGAGGTGACTGAGAGAGCCGAGGATGAGGAAGAGATCAATGCTGAGCTGACGGCCAAGAAGAGGAAACTGGAGGACGAATGTTCAGAACTGAAGAAAGACATTGATGACCTTGAGCTGACACTGGCCAAGGTTGAAAAGGAGAAACATGCCACAGAAAACAAGGTAAGAGGCATATTCTGCTATACTATATAGAGATTGTACCATCCAGTAAGTTGCTGTATAGTAGAGACAATCTCTTCCTTCACCTTCTAGGTGAAAAACCTCACAGAAGAGATGGCAGGTCTGGATGAAACCATAGCTAAACTGACCAAGGAGAAGAAGGCCCTCCAAGAGGCCCATCAGCAGACGCTGGATGACCTGCAGGCAGAAGAGGACAAAGTCAACACCCTGACCAAAGCTAAAACCAAGCTTGAACAACAAGTGGATGATGTAAGCCTAACACCATGTAAAATTATGTTTTTATTTTATAACTAAGTGGGCATGAGTTTGGATTTTTACAGTGTAACGAGCACTTCCAAGAGTGTCCAATGAATACACAGTATAGGATATCTATATGAATAAAAGCCTAAGCAACCCTTATGACAAGCGACCAGAACGATCAGTTGACGAGTCGCTTAACATACCCTGGCCACCAGGGGAAAGACACTCAATACAGGAGTTGCCCACTGGTGGTCAGTGTGCTCCCACAGTCAACATTCTGCAGCCAGCCAATTTCCTGCAGTCCCTTCTCTCCTCTCCCCCACCCCCATGCACTGGCCAGGATGAGGGGCCCCACCCATGCACAAATTTGTGCACCAGGCCTCTAACCCTGCTATAAGAACTAATATGGACATATAAGTAATAAAATAAAATAAATAAAGTTGTAACAGATAATATGGGCAAAACAAATTAGGGTGAAGGAAGGGAAAAAAACTGTATAAACAAAATGGGTCTTTATCTGGGCTTGAAAGAAGAGAGGCTATGGGAAGACATAGAAGAGAGAGGGTTCTCTAAACAAGAAGTGTAGTAAGAGCAAAGAAGTAATAATTATCCATAAGGTTTTCTCTCACAGGGACAAAGGGGATTCCAAACAGAGAACATGGGAGATAAATTTTGCTTCAAACATATTCTGATATTGAATGGAGAATCCGCTGTAAATGTCTGAGTAAGGGAGGACTTGACAAAGGTCACAGTTTGGAAATATTGCTATGGTATTTATCCCATGTAGCAAAGCATTAAACACAATGAATTCCAGTAGGGAGACAGAGAGGATAAGAGGTCTCCTAGTAGTTTACTGTAAAAATGTGTTAATTTTACTTTACAAATGATGAATCCCTGGACTAGATAAATAGCAATAAAATGTAATAGGTGAGATAAATTTGTCTAATTCAAAGAAAAAAAATCAAAATAATTTGCTGGTTATATATGAGTTAAATGTTTATAAGTTCAACTTGGGACAAAAGGTTGTAACATGCCAGGAACTATATTCATAGATTATTAACTTTTAGCTTGAAGGATCTTTGGAACAAGAAAAGAAAATCCGGATGGATCTAGAAAGAGCAAAGAGGAAACTGGAGGGAGACCTAAAATTGGCCCAAGAATCCACAATGGATGTTGAAAATGACAAACAGCAACTTGATGAAAAACTTAAAAAGTAAGCAGCAAAGACAAAAGTTTAGTGCTGAAAATACTATTAGTACTTATGTGACTTACAACAAGTGCTTTTCTAATAGAAAAGAGTTTGAAATGAGCAATCTGCAAAGCAAGATTGAAGATGAACAGGCCCTTGGGATGCAGCTGCAGAAGAAGATCAAGGAGTTACAGGTAAGTTAAGTACCTGGTTTCCGTCAGTGGAATTCAACATGATAAAATTACTAACACAAGCTAAGTTTGTGCTTTTCAACACTCCCAGGCCCGCATTGAGGAGTTGGAGGAGGAAATCGAGGCAGAGAGGGCCTCTAGGGCCAAAGCAGAGAAGCAGCGCTCGGACCTCTCCCGGGAACTGGAGGAGATCAGCGAGCGGCTGGAGGAAGCCGGTGGGGCAACATCAGCCCAGATTGAGATGAACAAGAAGAGGGAGGCTGAGTTTCAGAAAATGCGCAGGGACCTGGAGGAGGCCACCCTGCAGCACGAAGCCACAGCAGCCACCCTGAGGAAGAAGCACGCGGACAGTGTGGCCGAGCTCGGGGAGCAGATCGACAACCTGCAGAGGGTCAAGCAGAAGCTGGAGAAGGAGAAGAGCGAGATGAAGATGGAGATCGATGACCTCTCTAGTAACATGGAGAGTGTCTCCAAAGCCAAGGTACAGTCATGATGGTACCTTGAGAGCATTATACTACGTAAAATAAGCCAAACAGAGAAAGACAAATATCATGTGATTCATTTATATGTGGAATCTATTGCACAAAATGAGCTAAGAGACAAAGCAGAAAGATATTTCTGTAAGAAATCTGGCAAGAGACTGATCAGAGGGAGGGGCAACTTAGGTGTGACAGGGCAAAGTGCTCTCTCTTTATAGAAGTCACATTCAAAGAATATGCATAGTGAAAACTTAAGCTCTTTCAAATAAATACAATTGAACTGTACATTTTGAGATTTTAAAAACACCTCACCTTGATTAGGCTTTTTGTTTTTCTTTTAAGCACACATGCATAATTTTATTCTCAAAAAGAACTCATGAGCTGAATCTAATATAATTACTCTCTTAGAAGTAGGCCAGTTGAGTAAAGACAAATTCACAATTAGTATCTTGTTACTCTTTCCATCACAGTCTAAGGCCTCAGTTGTTTTTTACTTTGTAAAAGTAGTGGATTTTCAAAATAGATGAGTACTGAAGCTCCTTTGGAATGCGTGGGATTAATAACAATTTCTATGGTCCAAGAACTTGCTTAAGATGTCTTCTGCCACTTTTTGAACACAGGGAAATCTTGAAAAGATGTGCCGCACTCTAGAAGATCAACTGAGTGAAATTAAGACAAAGGAAGAAGAGCAGCAGCGGCTGATCAACGACCTGACGGCTCAGAGAGCTCGCCTGCAAACGGAATCAGGTGGGCTACTTACTAGTGTTGACCATCAATGACAAATTTACCTTGGACGCTCATTTCCTCTATATTTAATATAATGTATTTTCCGAATTATGGTGCTTAAAGAATTGGAAATAAATGCCATTTTGTTTATGATATGATCAGTTATCTCATACATCAACTCCTTCTGAGAGTAAAACGATGCTTGACCATTTCTTAATATAAAAGTGACTCCACAATTTCCTTTTGAACATCACTTCTACTTACAAAGGGAACTACTCAAAGTCTCCTATTTCTATTGAATAATTTTTTTGATTCAATGGAAGATAAACTAGTACAACACTAGTTTTTAAAAGGCACTAGAATATTCTGTTGGTTTGATTTACTTTTCACATGCTTCTTAACAATTTTTACAGTGATCAAAAGATCAAAAAAGTATTTGTGTTGTTCATAAGCATGTAATCTGCCTCAAAGTTTTCCATACTTCTCATTTTTACATAAACTTTTTTTGTCAAGATTGAAGTGGATGTTGGTGGTTTGTTGTAAAGTATACTTTCCATCCTGTTTTGACTAAGTTCCCTTTCCCTGCTCCATTAAGTTACAGCTTTAATTTCCATAGCTCATAATTTTCTGGATCTTGGTCTTTATAGGTGAGTTTTCACGCCAGCTGGATGAAAAGGACTCGATGCTTTCTCAGCTCTCAAGGGGCAAACAAGCATTCACACAACAGATTGAGGAACTAAAAAGGCAACTTGAAGAGGAGATAAAGGTAAGCCTTACTCTTCATTGTTTTGGTCATTATCCTTATTTTCTTCTGGTGACCTATAGGAAAATATGTACTAAATAGAACTTTAAATATATACCATTAAATTGCCAATCTCTGTTTTCAGGCCAAGAGTGCTCTGGCCCACGCCCTGCAGTCCTCCCGTCACGACTGTGACCTGCTGCGGGAACAGTATGAGGAGGAGCAGGAAGCTAAGGCCGAGCTGCAGAGGGCAATGTCCAAGGCCAATAGCGAGGTGGCCCAGTGGAGGACCAAATATGAGACGGACGCCATCCAGCGCACAGAGGAGCTGGAGGAGGCCAAGTATGTTCTAGACTTAGCATCTCTCTTAACAGAGTGTATCTTCTATCTCTACTAAGTGAGCAAATATCCATTGCTCCCAAAACAAAGGAAAAACTAGGGGAAACTAGTTTTTTTTAGAAAGGACATAAGGGAACAGGAAGCTGAATGGTTGTTGTTAAAAAGGGGGACAGATGTAGCTAGAATAACAATTCAATTATACTCTCTTGTGCCTCTCCTCTTTCTGAGCAACGAACAAAAATATTGCTCCAAGGTGATAGGTTTGTAAAAGAAAAATAATTAGGCTTTAAAGCATAGCTCCTCCCTTTGACATGTGAAAACATGGCTATATTGAAAAAGTGGAGGCATAAGTATATTATTAAAGACAACAAAATAAAAATAGACAAAATTCTGTAATAAGGAAGAAAACTGGGAGCTCCAGTGGTGTAATAGGTTAGCGCGTGGTACTTATAAGAAAAAAAAAAACTGTTTTATAAATATACAATGCAATACAAAGTCCAAGAGGGAGAATGTGGACAGGAAGTTTAAGAAGAGATTTATTCATTTAATCTATGGCTAATGTACATCCATATCATTGGAATTATAATGCTTTGTTGGATGCTGTGGAAGAGATTCTGAGTTGAACTCTCAAAGCAAAACTTATATTGATTTGGGAAAGCTTTTTATTAAAGGCTTTATGAAAACTAAGAAAATAGGGGATATAATTAGACAAAAATAAAGTATATTTTACTTACATTCAATTAATATAACATCTTAGTACTTAATATGTATAAGAGCCTACAAGAATACTAGTACAAAGATTAGCAAAATATAAATTCTATCCTCTGGAGATCAAAATTCAGTGGAGAAGATATATATATATATATATATATATATATATATATATATATATATATCCTCCACTGGGAAAAAAAAATATATATATATATATATATATAATTCAAGGTAGCTATTAAGATTCTATAAAGGACTAATGAGTCAGCTACCTTGAAGGGTAAAATGTTGCATTGGGCTGATCCTGGATTGCCTAAAAGTCAGACTACTAGTATGAAGTACAGAGATATTGAAATTTGAGTTATCTTTAGCATTTGGTTGGTAAAAGAGTGGGAATGAGTTAATACAGAACTGGACCTCCAAAACAAGTTTGAAAAGCATGGTAATAAGAGTCTGACTGTGGAAATCACTCTCTTGTACCCACTTTGAACACCGAGTTCTGCTGATGACTATTCACTTCTATTGTCCCCATTTCACTTTTCAGGAAGAAGCTGGCCCAGCGTCTGCAGGACGCTGAGGAACATGTAGAAGCTGTGAACGCCAAGTGTGCCTCCCTTGAGAAGACGAAGCAGCGGCTCCAGAATGAGGTGGAGGACCTCATGCTTGATGTGGAGAGATCTAATGCCGCCTGCGCAGCCCTGGACAAGAAGCAGAGGAACTTTGACAAGGTAATCACTGCAGAAGCTTCTGCCTCAGCATACAATTCAAGATAGCCTGCTAACATCAGTGTGCCTTACAGTGTGCCTTATTCAAACCATCTGAGGACTATACTCAGTAGCTCCTGCTTCATGGGTAGGTGGAGGGGGGGGGCAGTGTTCTTGTGGTTTCTACTGTTCCCATTCATCATAATTTTTCACCCCAGATCATCTTAACTCTCAGAGATGCTAGAATAAATGGTTTCATTACATTAAGCTTTACCCACTAAATTTCTCTCCCTTCCCCCATGGCTATTTATTTCCATTTTTTTCATTAAGGTATTACATGTGTACATATCTTCCCATTGCCCCCTCCCACCACTCCCATATATGCTCTTTCCCCCCAGTGTCTTGCTACCATTGGTTATGTTTATATGCATGCACACAAATCCTTCGGTTGATCTCTTATCTCCCCCACCTCTCCCTAACCTTCCTGCTGTAATTTGACAGTCTGTTTGATGCTTTACTGCCTCTGTATCCACTCCACTAAATTTCTTGACCATAACTTGTCCCTCAGATCCTGGCTGAATGGAAGCAGAAGTATGAAGAAACTCATGCTGAACTCGAAGCTTCCCAGAAGGAGTCCCGCTCCCTCAGCACAGAGCTATTCAAGATTAAGAATGCTTATGAGGAATCCTTAGACCAACTTGAAACTGTAAAGAGGGAAAATAAGAATTTGCAACGTGAGCACATTTCACCTTTTCTTTAAGAAGTAGCTAAATAATGCTTTCCCTGAATGAACAAATATCTCTATTTTTGTTCACCAACAGAGGAGATTTCTGACCTCACTGAGCAGATTGCAGAAGGAGGGAAACGTATCCACGAACTGGAAAAATTAAAGAAACAAATTGAGCAAGAAAAGTGTGAGCTTCAGGCTGCTTTAGAGGAGGCAGAGGTAGGCATATTATTGTACACTCTAAAAACAGTTATGAGAAAAATTAGGTCAATTTCACATAAGAATTGATGAATCAAGAGAAAAGAAAAATAATTTTTACTCTGCATATGAGTATGGAAATGGAAAATTGACCATGTATACAACTAACATAATTATATGTCAAGAACTATGCTAGATATTTAGAAAACAAAGATGAATTAAGGGCCTTGTCATCATGGGCACTATCAAGCTGGGAAGATAGACATATATAAAACCAATAACAGAACATTGTAGAAATTTCTATAATAATGGAATAAAGATGTGTTACAGTGGCAAAAAAAGTAGGAACTCATTCCTGTTTCTAGAATACTACATATTTCCATTCCCTACTAACATCACCTTTTCTGTCATTAAGGCCTCTCTGGAACATGAAGAGGGGAAGATCCTGCGCATCCAGCTGGAGTTGAACCAAATCAAGTCTGAAATTGACAGGAAAATTGCTGAAAAGGACGAGGAGATTGACCAACTGAAGAGAAACCACATTAGAGTGGTGGAGTCCATGCAGAGCTCGCTGGATGCTGAGATCAGGAGCAGGAATGATGCCATCAGGATCAAGAAGAAGATGGAGGGAGACCTGAATGAAATGGAAATCCAGCTGAACCATGCCAACCGCATGGCTGCTGAGGCCCTGAGGAACTACAGGAACACCCAAGGCATTCTCAAGGTAAATGGGGTCAAGAGATAGTCCCAGTGCAGTTGGGATGGCTGAAGCCCTGAGAACAAGATGTCTCAATGATCTTTCACCCCACAGGACACCCAGCTGCACCTGGATGACGCTCTCCGGGGCCAGGAGGACCTGAAGGAGCAGCTGGCCATGGTTGAGCGCAGAGCCAACCTGCTGCAGGCTGAGATTGAGGAGCTGAGGGCCACTCTGGAGCAGACGGAGAGGAGCAGGAAAATTGCAGAACAGGAGCTGCTGGATGCCAGTGAGCGTGTCCAGCTCCTGCACACCCAGGTGAATAGACAAAATAGAAGAAGAGTGAAAAATACAGAAGAAGGAAAATCAAATTCTTGCTCACATTTTAGTGTTATTTAAAAAAAATTATTCATAGTTTCATGGAGGATAAAATTTAAAGCATTTAATATTTTTGGATTAAGAATATTTTGCTTATCTTAATTTTGACATCTAGCATTGACTGTCTTTTAAAAATACATTGTCACCTGAAATACTTTATGTAACAAGAAGGGATACCAATTAGTTAATTTAATTAACTAGTTTGTGATTTCATTAGAACAGCAGGCATCCTAATTTTTCTCTTAGGTATTTAATATTTTTAATTGTGATGTTTTAACCAGAACACCAGCCTGATCAACACCAAGAAGAAGTTGGAGACAGACATTTCCCAAATCCAGGGAGAGATGGAGGACATTGTCCAGGAAGCTCGCAACGCAGAAGAGAAGGCCAAGAAGGCCATCACTGATGTGAGCAGAGGGCAACACAGTGGTGGTCAAATTTGAATCTTAATGTGCTATCTCAGTTTTCTGAACGGTTTTAATTTACTGCTACTTAGGCGGCCATGATGGCCGAGGAGCTGAA